GCACTTTTCAGAAACCTCTCACATACTAATCTTTTTGATGGGTAAGGTGACTTTCACTATGAAAGAAAAAGATAGCATACTATTTTCCACATGTAAAGCTCACTCAGGGAATGTGATAGGCAAAACTTTCACTATGGAAGAATACAGTTACAAACTTTCTGTCTCTTTAAGGCAACGTACATTCCATATGAAGATAAGCATGAAACAGGGTAATTAAGGCAGCTCTTCTCCTCCAGGACTGCATTGTGGACTAAGCTGTCCATTAAGGAAGGTGAGAAGGAAGGTTTCATTGAAGTAAACTGACTTTGAAGGAAATATGTTTTGTCATGTGCTATTTCATATACATGTGGTTTGCCTCGTTGTGTTTGGGTTTGTTTTTTTTTAAATGGAACTTAAATTTTAAATCAGTTAATCAAAAATAGAGCAATGGCAAAAACCTTGATTATTAATAGAACCTAAACAGGACTGAGATTTTTCTAGCTGTAATTATCATCATTCTACTCTGTGGCCTGTTGGTTTTCCTATTATTTCTGTTTTCATTTTACTAATAAAGGGGAAGTAAAATTTCAGGGCCAGAACTTGATCTTACTAAATGTCAGGTCTCAAGCCACTGTGACACGGGGGAAAAAAAATCACTCTTGCAGGGCAGTAAGCCTTACTGCACTTGGAGAATGCTGCATATACATTGAACAGGTCTTCACTTCAAAGGCCTTTGAAACAAACTCCAGAGTACCTGCCTATGGAAGAGATTTTAAGACCTTCATAGTTCAGAATGGGTTTTCTTGTTATCTGGGACTGGTGCCTTTTATACCATGCAACGGACCCACGATTCTCAGCCCTATAATTGTAGCTGGTAAAAAGTAGGTGGAAAAGATGCTTTGTCTCCATAAAGCACTTTTCTTTTTGATCTAATCAATACACCAGTATAAGCTCAGTGTAAGGTACTTTCTTTTCTTTCCTTTTTTTTTTTTTAAATTCCAAAAGGCGTGTATGTTCTGTGGTATAAAGGAAAACTGCCAGATGCCACCATTAAAATGAAAACCCTCACAAGCTGTGATATTTCTGGAGACAAGAACTCTGCCAAGTGTGTGGCCACAGGGGATGCAGTCAGACATTCCCCTGCTGGTAGAACACTGCTTTGTTTCCAAAGACCAAAGGCCCCTTTTAGCTAGACAGGTCCTGTTAAGGTGTCACATTGCTGATAGTCTTCACAGAGTAACTATTTTGCCTAATACTTAGGTTGTTCAATCCACCCTTTCAAAATTGTGGTTTGTGATCTCGCAAGTGATGCCTGTACTGCTTAGCGTACACTGAGCATGTGATCTGACTGACAGCCATTTACACGAAAGCCTAGGCCAAGTATAGGACAGCATAAGAAAAAAAGGAAAGAGCAAGTCCTTGCCTCACATCTTAGCCTTGACCTACATGCTCTTTACAGTGGTTTAGATGGGCTGGCCAGAGGAGGAGGAAGGAGGGTGGCTGAGTGTCTGTTCACAGTTCATTCATTGATGGCTATACTCCTGACCTGGAGGTGACATGACTACTGAAGAACTCAGTGCCCACAGTATGGCAAGTGGGCACTCAGAATATTCCTGTACAGTGCCAGGTAGTACCTGGATATGCCTGAGCTTGCCAAAATATCGGCTGCCCTGGGAAGGATTAAAGACCACAGACAAGTCACTGCCTGGGCCAGCAAGCGCTTCAATACCTTCTATTTGCCACAGTTCTCTCCTTCTCCCCACGGCCTTTGGCTTGCAAAAGTGTGTTCCCAAGTGATGTAAAAATCACAGTCCTAAACTTTGAAAGTGCAAAGAAGTCAGTATTTTCCTATGCTTTTCTGACTGCATTCAGAAAAAAGACCATTTCTTCAGGAGCATTGCCAAAGTTGGATGTGTTGGAGCGGGTCCAGAGGAGGGCCTTGAAGATGATCAGAGGGCTGGAGTACCGCTCCTATGAGGACAGGCTGGGGGAGTTGGGGCTGTTCAGCCTGGAGAAGAGAAGGCTCCAGGGTGACCTTATAGCAACCTTCCAGTACCTGAAGGAGGCCTACATGAAGGATGGAGAGGGACTTTTCACAAAGGTGTGGAGTGATAGGACAAGGGGGAATGGTTGTAAACTAAAAGAGGGCAGATTTAGATTAGATATTAGGATGAAATTCTTCACCATGAGGGTGGTGAAACACTGGAACAGGTTGCCCAGAGAAGCTGTGGATGCCCCCTCCCTGGAAGTGTTCAAGGCCAGGTTGGATGGAGCTCTGAGCAACCTGGTCTAGTGGAAGATGTCCCTGCTCATGGCAGGGGGGTTGGAACGAGATGATCTTTAAGGTCCCTTCCAACCTAAACCATTCTATGATTCTATGATCTGCGGTTAGAAAGAGTGGCTTTGCAATGATTGGAAAACTGAGTGAAGAGTGATGTGACATGGAATGGTGAGTGTCCCCTGTCCTGTGGGACAGCCGATTTGCTTACGGGCAGCACCACACAAACATAAAGGCCCTAATGAGTAGCTGACTGCATGTTAGTCCCGGATTTAACCCTCAGCATCTTTAATTAGCTGCACTTCTGCTTGATTCTGAGAATTATTTCTGTCTTCACAGAATCACAGAATGTTCGGGGTTGGAAGGGACCTCTGTGGGTCATCTAGTCCAACCCCCTGCCGAAGCAGGGTCACCTACAGCAGGCTGCACAGGACCTTGTCCAGGCGGGTCTTGAATATCTCCACAGAAGGAGACTCCACAACCTCCCTGGGCAGCCTGTTCCAGTGCTCTGTCATCCTCAGAGTGAAGAAATTCATTCCTACACTGGTTCATTCCATGCTTTCTATAAATTCCAGAACCTGCATTTTCTTATTGTATGCTCTGTGTTACCTGGTCCACTACTTTTTTTTTCCTACTAGTTTAACTGATATGTATTATGTTTTAACTGATCAGTGTTAATACTGGCACCTTCAAGGCAGGAACACAGTTCAGTTGCCAGGACAAGTCAACCATCCTGTTTGGAGAATATCCTTCTCCCAGACTGAAAGACGTGCTTGTATGTGAGGCACCAGCCAGCAATTCAGAGACATTAGATATAATGCATAATTCTCTAATATTCTCCTCGTATTCTGCTTGACATATGGCAGCAGCTCCTCAGATACAAAAGGGCAATGTTGTTTACCTGCATCAAAGACAGCAAAGGAGGGAAGAGGGACCAGGGAAGAAAGCAGAGGTGAACTAACTTCTCTGGTGCCTGAACAACACTCAGCTCAGTTTCTGAAATAGCCAGATTCCTATCAAACAGAAAAACGGCCTAGGACCGAAATGCTTGATAGAATTAGATAGATGTAGTTAGGAACTGAAATCTCTGTTTGGTACAATATATGAGGAGCTGTGTAATTTAACTCCTTTCTCTAGAAGAGGATTTATGAAAGTTTGCAGAGACACAAAAGGAATTGTTTTGGTAACAATGATTTTCCAGTGCTGTAAGATATGTCTGACCTCTACTGATTTTATGGCAACTGACATAGGGACTTTGAATTATTACTTCGCCCCACATAGGCATAACAATTTACTCTGCCTCAGTCAGTGATCTGAGGGCATGGTGTACAAAGTAGGGGGGGATGTGGTAAAAAATAGGAAAAAAAAAAAAAAAAAAAATTCTGTGAAAATGTCTTCCAGATATTAGTATGGGTGGGGAACAGCATTAAAGGACTTCTCCATCAGATATTAAATATCAGCTAAATCCAGTATGACAAACTAAGGAGAGAAAGAGAGATAAATGTCACTCTCTGTTAAAAACAGACACAACTATTAAATATGATCTTTGTAAATACTACGGAAAATCAAAGTAATAGCTATGGGAAACAAACAAACAAAAAAAAACAAACCCCCTTGCTTTCATACCACGACATAGGTTTTTTTCTGGAATCGTTGTATTAATATGTAGCTATGAGACACTAATAATCGTAATGGTGAATACATACAGATAGCTCTTACTTCCCTCTAAACTGACCCAAAAGGATCACCCACAAAGTACATCAGTACATTTGCCATCAGCAAATGGTAGTTTCATTTATAATGAGTGGTGGGAATTCTCCCTCTAATCTCTGCAAAAATTTAGGAAAAGCAAATTATATTAGGTGGTTGTTTTAAGCATTCCCCTAGTTCATTCTGAAGTATGAAGGTGTAGTAAATGTAAATGACAAGTTGCCATTGATTTCTGTCATACAAACGGGCTGTGAACAAACTGAACAGCAGTTGTGCTATAGCCACTCTGATCTAAAGATTCAAACAAGGCAAACAGGGCGTAACCACAAAAGGTAAAAAAAAAACTGATTTGAAACTCACAACCTTATGACACAAATTTTTTTTTAAAAAGGAAAAGAAAATAGCTCAAAATGGTTATGTGCAGGTATCTACTGGCTCTTACCTAAATTTTATACCTGTATGTAGTAGTACTGCCCACAAGACACTTCTGTTCTATCAGATTTCTTTAGGAGATTAGATGTCTGCTGGTTTGAGGAAGAAAATCTCTGGAGCTGTCCTATACACATTCAAATCCTAGTCGCTTCTTCTCAGCATTAGGGAACATAACGTTCATGATCACATTTTGAAGGGAGTAGATGCACATTCTTCTCTAGCTGTATCTTACTTTTTGGTTTGAATATGCTGGGGTTTTGATTGCTTCTCAGAGTGTGAGTTTTTCATATGCATGGATTGGATGACAAAAGAGATAAGTATGTTCCTAACCGCCAAAGACCTGCTGGATACGTCAGCGCTAGTCCTTCCATATCTCTACACAAACTTTGTACAAGCAAACCAGAGTTTAGCACACTAAATTACCACCACATCTTCCTGTGAGACTTCGTATTTTTTAAATAGTGACTTGGAAATGAACTTCAGCCAAAAAAACTTAATCTCCATTTTCCCAGACATTTGTGCACACTAACCAGAATATAACATAATGTCTTTTCTGTAGCCATAGATGCTTTTCCTCACTTGTGCAGAAAGGAGTACTTACTTCCAATATCTGGCCGTAGCTTTTTGTCATACTCTCTCAATAGCTTGTTTAGGATGAGAGTCACATCTGTGTCTTGTGTTTTTGGAGCTAAAACCCATTTTTGGTTAGTTGTTCCGTCTTCATATTCGTCCTCTTCAACCTTTCTAGAACTGCAATTAAAAAAAAAAAATCAAACAAATACACGTTATTCTACATAACTAAATCTGAATTTACATTCTGAGTAAATCTCCACACATCTGAAAAAGTTTTAGACATGTCCCTTGGCTCTGCTGCCTCTACCGAGCCCTAGGCTGTTTTTGCAACAGGATGCTCCCATTAACAGTTGTTGAGTATCTGTGGATGGGTAATCACTGAGAGATGTTTAGAAATTATCTTCTACCAGTCTCTCAAAAAATTAGATTTTGGAAGTTAATACAGCTATCAGAGTAGTCTTTTATATCCTGTATTTTAACCACCCTCTCCCAACTAGTTAGTTTACAATATACTCTTAGGAAGAGCGAACATCTGCAGTATTATTTTATTAATACATCAAGACAACTGATTCATCTCTTCCACAAAGGCTAATAAGATTATTAAAAATTCAGATCTTTTAATACTTCTTGATCATTTTATCCTATTAATAAATTATTACATTCCCAGTGCCTGAATTTCAGTTTAATGTATTACAAGGCTTAGAATTAAGCTTGCTCCTTAAATTTGAGATGGATTATGACAAGCACAAAAAATTCATCGCATAAATTAATCTGAATCTCCCTGAAGTTATAATGACATTAAAAAAAAAAACAGTACTACACCAAGAGTTGCAACATCTTTCCTTCATAGGTGGATTATTTGTAGTTTTAAGAGTTGCCCAGAACTCACAGCTAGAGCTATTTTCACACAAGACTAATTTCATTTGTATGGCTTCTTGTGCATGAAGAGTAAAATCTTGATCTGAAGATGTATCTTTTGGTCTTGGAAACCAAATCTCTTTAGTTCTCTTGCTGGAGAAGATCTACGACATTTAAACTGAGATGAAGTTATTGGGAGAAACGATAACATCAGTGGTAGAACTTCCAGTAGTAATCATGTTGCTTTGACCTGCAACTGCCCTGGTGATACGATATCATTTCACAACTTTTTTTACACAAATATCAATAATTATGCAAGGTGCAAAGCACTGGAGAATCAAAGGCACCAGCCCTGCTTATTCACAGGATGTGCTACACGCATCAGAGCAACCTCCTTTCTCTCTCTCCCTCGTCTTCTCTCCAGAAGGAGAGTAGCGTCTTTTAAAATATCTCAGATGTCCAGAAGACTTGATAGACACTCTCTAGTAACAGAAAAAAGTGAATACAATTACAAAAATTTAATCACAGAGCATCATTAACCCTCAACATAGCTTGTAGACCACCATTCGAGCATTTAATGAAACTTTTAATTGAAACTGCTCTACAGCCGCTACCCCCCCTAAGCTCTAGCCATGAATCTCTCAATGTGACTGCTAGTGCTCTAAGTATGATTCCTGTACAAAAATAATTTTGAAACCTAGCCCCTGAGGATTTTCTACAGAGAGAGCTCGTATAACCAAATTGCAAAAGTAGAGAAAACTTCGGGGAAATTGTCAATAGATTACCATTCTTTCTCTGTTAGTTTGTTACATTTTTTAAAAACTTGATCTTTTTTTTGTGTAATTCATCCAATGAACATTAAAAAAATCTTCAGAGGAATTTTTGTGGGGTTCTTTTTCCTCCCTCGGCTTCATGACAAGCCCTGTGTCTTAATACTGCAGTTACAGAACCGTTCTCAAAGGAGGCACCGTTTCCAAACATACATGTTTGATATTTCAAAGCTGAAACCCTGCAGTGGTGCTGAATTGCCGGTAGGAAAGGAGCACAAATCCTACGTCTTTTTCCGCTGCACCCACCACAACTTTACTGGAGGCATTCAGACTGCACGTGGAAATGAGAAATGAGTTCAGGTAGGATCTTCATTCCCATTTCAGGGAGCTCCTGCTCTAAAGCCAGTCACTAGTAAGACTCCAAGGATTGACAGACCTTTAAATCCCCTCACTCCAGCAGCTTGCTTCCTAGAAAGTACCTCCAGACGATGTGAATTCCCACCTACCTTCTAGATTGACTGGGGGTGTGAGGGGTTTCACAGTGAATCAAAGTAATCCACTAGATACATATTTTTCAAAGTCTTTTGTTTTCCTCCTTACAAGTCTGTTACTTCACTTCCCTTGCTTGCCTCTGCACAATTAGGCTCCTTGAAGGCACTTGAGGTTGCATTTTCACCTGTAGCCTTACTGGGTGACTGCCAACTTCCCAGCATATTCCTGCTATCCACAGAAACAAGTCTGGGATGAGGGCAGGCCATTCTCAAATTGGGGAGGAAGCAGTGCTGCACACCTTCCAGGCTCCTCAGGGGCCTCTAGTTTCGATCCTGTGAGGTGACAGAGAGGAGCAGTGCGTAAACTGCAGAGCAGGGAGGCTGGAAAACACCGAGAGGTTGTGGGGGCAGCATTTCTTTCCTGCAACGCGTGTGTCCAGGGCTTGCTCTGGGGGCTGGCACGAAGCAGCCTCTAGT